AGGCCTTTAATGATCTATTCCTTCCAACTGCCTTACTGATGCTTAGTTAGCACATATGAAGATCCACTAAGATCTGACATATTGAGACAGAAAGATCAGAGGGCTTATTTTCAGGCTAGGTTTAATGTCAAGTACTATTACTAATTTCAACTTCATCAAATGAAAAATGGACATATTGTTATATATTCTAAGAGCTTCACAAACTCTAATGTTATAAAAATGATAGTTATCCTTACACTAAAGATATATATCAAACAGAAAACTGTCCAAATATAGAATCATGTAAAAATATAAAGTTAATTTATATTAGTGATATGTGAATATTAACAGTTCTGAGTAAAAATCCTCTGTGATAATGTATGGCTCTATAATGCTTTAATTTTTTTTATTTTTAGTCATCAATGGACCTTTATTTTATTTATTTATATGTGGTGCTGAGGATCAAGCCCATGGCCTCAACTCCCCAGGCAAGCGTTCTACCACTGAGCCACAACTCCAGCCTGCTTTAAATTTTCTTTTCTTTTTTTTTAATATTTATTTTTTAGTTTTAGGCGAACAAAATATCTCCATTTTATTTTTATATGGTGCTGAGAATCGAACCCAGTGCCTCACACATGCTAGGCGAGCGCGCTACCTCTTGAGCCACATCCCCGGCCCAGCTTTAAATTGAGTATATTAATATGTGACTTGTGGAATTGTATATAAGTTAAATTGTAAATAAGTTAAATAACTATAAAAAGTTAAAATATTCCATATTTGCATATGCCTTTTGGCACAATATGAAATTTCATTCTCTAAAGCAAAGAAAATTGTATGAAAAGTTGTGGGGGGTGTGTGTGTGTGTGTGTGTGTGTGTGTGTGTATTTTTAAAGCTCAGGAAGAAGCTACTTTGTCATATTTAACACAAATAGCTCATAGTGTAATAAAAGGCTTTGGTTAAAATTTTTAAGTTCAGTCCAGGAGCTCGTTTTTAAAAAGTCCTAAAGACCCTAGAAGTTTAGAAAGTTAACTTTCTGAAGTCAATTTAATGGTATATGTGATTATTTTTTATTTTTCCTTAGTACTAGGGATGGAATCCAGGGCCTTGCACATTATAGGCAAGCATTCTACCACTGAGCTAAATCTCAGTCAATGTATGTGGATTTTTCTGAAAAGAAATTCTGAATTTTTATCTGAAAAACAATAGCCAAAAAAAACTTTAAGAAGCATTAGGTGCTAGAATGTTATTGATATGTCTCCAGCATTCAATTCAAATCTGAAAAATAAAGAACTAATGCTTTACAGCTTGGTGTGGTGGTACAATCTATAATCCCAGTTACTTGGGCGGCTGAGATGGAGGATGGCAGTTCGAGGCCAGCCTCAGCAACTTAGTGAGGCTCTGCCTCAAAATAAAAAATAAAAAGGGGTGGGGATGCAGCTCAGTGGTAAAGCACCCCTTGGTTCAATCCCCAGTACCCACCCATCCCCCCCAAAAAACTAAAGCTTTGTTTCCAGGACTTGAGGGGCTGAGATGGATATCTTAATGTCTATATTTAGGAGCATCATGTGCTATTTTATATGTTTGGACTAAGATTACATGTCTGCCAAGCTAAAAAAACAGTTTTTATGCTAAGCAAATTACCTTCAGAATCTTTTCAATGTCTTAATTCAGTCGACACACTACACTTGTAAATTGATGTGCTGGAAAGAAACACTGGCTCAATGGCTAGGGAACTGGGAATTCTGTGGAATTCTTTCTGGATACACCATTCTGGATTATCAGAAAAATAAAGTTCCGAGATTAAATGTTACTGAATGTAGCAAGTTTTGCTTAATAAATCAGAAGACACTTCAGGAGGACTGTCAATGTGAATTTAATTGGATTAAACATAAATGTGGTATTAGAAATTATCTAACAATAATTGATATTTCATGGAAACTGCCTTCTGGAAGACCTTTCTGCCATTCTGTCAACTGCCTTTCTCACCAGATACTATTAAATATCAATATTTGTTTGACCACCTTAACTCGTATTACAGATTCTGACTAAAAGGGAATCTATATTAAGAATAAAAAAACCAACAATGTGGCAAAAAAAGTAAATAATTGTGGAATTATTACAGGTGGGATTAGAATTTTTTTAGACTGATAACTCAGATCTCAACAATCTTGATTTACCAAACTTGTATCTTAGTCACATTATACCTCAATAATTAAGACCCCAACCAAAATCCAGTCCATAAGGTGTTAATGTAAGATGTTTATTAGTGTAATTTATTTAGCACAATGATCACATTAAAATGATCCAATATACAAATTATTAAAGTCTAAAGTCACAAAAAATACAAACTTAGGTATATGAATGAAGTTATAAAAAATATTAGTTAAAAACAAAGTTCTGTATCTTTAACACTGGGCAGAGAGAGAGAGAGAGAGAGAGAGAGAGAGAGAGAGAGAGAGAGCGCGCGCTTTTTTTTTTTTTTTAAAGTCACATTTCAATAAAGAAGCCCTGTCCAGTCTGGCTGCCTTACCAGTGAAATAATGAGCCACTGGCAATATGGCATATCATAGCAATACAGCATTTTTAAAAAATGGGACTAACTACTTCATATGAAGTTGTACTTCAACCATTACATTGTTTCTTTCCAAATTAAACATCCAAATGAAACAGAACTAACAAAGTCTACCAAATTTAACCAGGTTTTAGTAGAAAAATTCAATAAACCCAGAAATTCATAAAAGAAAAGATTTTAAAATTTCAAACAAAAATAAACATGATCAAATGGAAAGAAAAGTGAAACAAATCAATGTCAGTCGTGAAGTATGAGTGTGCAACAGAAATCTACACCCAGGTTTTTCTACATACCTAGTCCTTAGACAAGCTACAAAGATTGGTTAGAAGCAACAAAACATGATTTCCAAGTAGTTGGCCAAACCCCTCAAAAAAACAACTTATTAAAAAAATGGGAAAGAATTATGTTTGGATAGTGTGCTTTCTTATGGTAAGGGTTTTCATATTTTATCAACTACTTAGAAGATAAGCCCAAAGTCTTATATGCCTCCCTCAATTATCCTCTGTCTAAACCTATGGAAAGATTCTTGGCAGAAATACCAGACCTTGTCACCTCTCCTGTAGAAGACGGAATGTTTGCCAGGCATGATGGCACATGCCTGTAGTCCCAGCTACTTGGGAGGCTGAGGCAGAAGGATCAAAAGTTCAAGGAGAGCTTGGGCAAATTAATTAGACTCTGTCTGGAAAAAAAGAAAGAAATGGAATGGAATGCTTCCAGAAGTCACTGCAGGGACTTCTTTGACCTTTCATGATATTCTATAGTCTTCCTCTCAAATGCAGTTTTCTATCAGAGGGTCTAAAACTATTATATTCCTCAAAATTATTTCTTTTATTGATACGTACATTATCAATAAGAGGACACTAAAAAGGGTACTGCACCATTCTAGATGTCAAACCAGAACTACTCTGATTTCAAAACATGGTCCATAATTTAAATTCCATTTCTAAAAATCCCATCAAAGATTACTCTTGCAAGGTTTCCATAGTATTTATCCTAAAGGGTTCTATATATTTTTTTAATTATCAGTTTCCAAAAATTAGAAATGAAAATAAGAAAGTACCACTGAGAAAATCTTCAGACTGAATAAATGTAAATGCTACAGTTCATGGTAAAGGATTTCACACCCAGGTGTATATGTGTGATCCACCAATCCTGCTTGGATGCTGCATATGAAAGGTACTTCCAAGGCCAGGCACACTGTCACATGCCTACAATCCTGACTTGAGAGGCTGCAGCAAGATGACCACAAAATCAAGGCTAGCTTTGGCAATCCATGAGACTCTATCTCAAAAGAAAAAGGATTAGGGGTCTAGTTTAATATCAGAGTACCCCTGGGTCCAATCCCCAGTACAGGGGCTGAGGGGATTAGTACTTCTGAATTCAAGGAAATACTAATCCTTAACCATATGAGTCCAACCAGATGATAGTTTCTTTAGAAACCAGGCACAAGGATGCACGCCTCTAGTCCCAGCCAGTAGGTGGGAGGATTGCTTGGGTCCAATTTAGACCAGACTAGACAACATAGCAAGACACTGTCTCAAAACAAAACACAATAAAAAACTGGGGACTGAGGGAGTAATTCAGTAGTACAGCACTGGACTAGCATGCATGGGCCCAGCAATACTTTCAAAAACCACACACACACACACACACACACACACACACACACACACACTCCATAAGAAACCTGCTAAATTGGTTTTAGTTCTTAATTGGTTATTCTGGTTGCAGCTTACTTTCATTCTGGTGTTGTCACAGAAGCAGCCATTTTTATCCTTATCAACATCCTGGTTTTCTAACAATACAAGATTCAAAAAAACTGTAAATTAGTTCTATTTTCTTTAACTTCTCTATTCCTAGTTTGATAGTTCATGATCATGTTCTAAAAGTAATCTTGACTATAAAAAATTAAATATACAACAATAGTGTCAAATTTCCAGAAGAATCTAATGCTAGACCAGTAGATAATAATTTCATGATTAAAAAATAGTTGGTCCAACTTGCAAATAACAAAGAATGATTTAGTTTGGAGAAATACTTTTCAAAGTTTAATCAGAGCTACTCTAAGCTAGAAAACCTTAAATTAAAATAGCTATCACTACTAAGATTTTGTGAAGGTGAAGAGAAACAGGTAGCCTGAAAGAGGACCCTTCATTAAAAGCAAGCTCACAGAGGGAAAAAGCAGGGACAGGAAAGGGAAATTCACTGCAGTACTGGTGACCTCAACCCCTTTATGAAAGCACATGTTCTCATTTGGTGTAATAATATTCTGATTCACATGGAATATTCAAAAACCATATGAAAGGCCAACTAAAAATGTTTAAATGAAAGAAAAATATGAGACTGAGTTAAATGATAAAATGAATTTTAAAAAAACAAATAAAACATTAGATGACCTTCATAAAAAATACTAAAATTAAAAAAATTCATCATACACATTGTGCTCACAAAGGGAAAGGAGGATCCATCAAGCCCTGCAGAGCACAAGAAGCAGATGGTTTACTCAGGCATCAGCAGAAATAGGACCCGGAGAACTACCCTCAGATTCTTCTACATGGTGTCCAGGAAGGAAAAGCAAAGTTGCAATATGCTGAAGGTTTTAGAAGTATAACGGTGCTTAGGAAAGATCACTGGTCTGGTGTTGCAGCAGCCCCAGTGTTGACAGACACTCTAGGCTTCTAGGAGGAGAAAAATAGAAAGGGAGGAAGAAGTAGGAAGGGGAAGGAAAAGGATGGAAAAGCACAGATCATTAGTAAACAGCAAGTTCAACATAGCAAGATGCTCATAATCTCTTTATATTATTAGTAGAGCTGGTGTGCTCTCAGAACTACAAATAATATTCTGAGGGAAATCAAATAGGAATTTTCAAAATGGCACTGAGCTAGGTGCTCTAATTAGTGATTGGCAAAATTAGTATCAAGTCACTACATGCCCCCAAAGCATGCACTATTCACCCCTCCTTATTTATCCCTCCCCAGTCAAACATGCATATTTTCAGTAAAATACCTGCTTTAATACAGTCACAAAATAAAATTCAGAACCCAAACAACCCAAATCTACCTAAAGGTGGAGAGATCTTCAAGAGCTGAAAGAACTGCTCTCACAATGCCACTGGGCAGTTCATTTAACAGATTACTTTGTTTTTGTAGTCAGAGAACTAAAAGTAAGGGTAAGAGTCAAGCTGCTAGGTTTTTTACCTCCCTACACTATTAAGACTGAGCAGTAAGGAGACTACTGCTCAGTCTTAATAGTGTAGTGGGGTAAAAGAGACTGAGTCTCCTCTGGTCAGATTTGACATTCTGCTGGAAGAAACCCAGCCTAGCTTTGATAATTGTTTCTTTTCAGGTGAAAATGACATCCACTCTTTCCAACTGGCTAGTCAAACTGATCCTCTCCAGCCTATCATCCCCTGGCACTGTCTCCTGGTTAAAGAAAGCTGAATTAACTCATTTTTTAAAAGTTCATATTCAAGCTTCTTCATTAATCACGGGTGTTATATATTTGCATAAATACTTTTTTAAAATAAAATCACATAGATAACTCTGCTTTTAAAGCAGATACAGAAATATTCAATATTGCATATGATTACAATTACCAAAGAAAAATACAAAAAAGTCAATTCACAAAACTGTAAGGTAAAATGGCACTTCTGATTGTTTCTAGTTTGTAAAATAAAGAGTACTTTATGAGGTGCTAGTGAGAATGTTAATGTCACTGGGTAAAATCAACATTCACAACAAATAGGACCTACTTATTGTTAACTAGTAATGTGTATGTATGTATACTCTGTGTATACATCCTTAAGGTCATAAAATAACAAGTAAATCCTGGAATAACTACTATTGCTAAAAGAAGGCTGAGGCAGTCATCCCAGAAGAAAAACAAAACAAATAAAATAAATGGCTAGTGCTTGACTCCATTGCATTAATGTGAATCAAATTTTGTACCTCAGAGTTAAGAGCACACACTGCTATGTGTAAGAGCAATGTGCTTGAGCACTGGAAGTCAAATCACATAGGCCAACAGTATCAGCCTCATCATAACTGCAAATTAAGAATAGTTATTTATAAAAATATAATACACTAACTCTCATGTAGGCTCCTAAGAAAAGACTTACATTCTATATCTCCTCAGGGATAGACTTCTGCTAGAGTTTGAGAATTTTCCTCACTACAAAGATACTGAGGGGCTCCAGGTTAATGTTGGTTATGAAGTGAAAACCCATAGGAATGTGGTTGGTGCTGGCTGAAAGAATATCAAAGCCCCAGCCGTAGGATAGGAGTTAAAATTAGGAATAAATTTCAAAAGCAACAGTTAAGGGAAAGAAAAAGAAAAAAACAGGGCAAAAGACAAAGAAAACATTGTAATTTACCGCTCACAGGATTCCTAATACTGTGTTTTGGAAACTAAAGTAAGTGTAGGGAAGAGATCCTACTTAGTTGCACAGGCCAAAAGCTTTCCATATAACATAAACTGATGATGAAAGAGTATTTTTAAGATGGATCCAATTCGTTCTTTTTTTTTTTTTTTTTTTAATAATGGGAATTGAATACAAAGGCTCTTAACCACTGAGCCATATCCCCAGTCCTTTTTATTTTTTATTTTGAGACAGGGACTCACTAAGTAATTTAGGGCCTTGCTAAGTTGCTAAGGCTGATCTTGAACTTGCAATCCTCCAATCTAAGCCTCCCAAGTTGCTGGGATTACAGGCGTGCACTACCACATCCAGCAAGATGAATCCAATTCTTAAGTGGTACAGTTCCACCAAATATTCAAAGAATATCAAAGGAAATTCATTCTTCTCTTTCCATTGTTAGACATTTCACATGGCAGATCTTCTGATGCCCAACAAAAATGATACCCTCAGAAAAATATGTTCCACTAACAATTCGCCTCAAAAAAGTTTACCAAGGTGTACACTGTAAATATTTCGGTTACATATTTGGAGAATCCTTGGAATCACTTACCTGTAGTGTCATTCCCTTCTATTCCATGGTCACCATTGGCTAACACTGTTGGTTTAGAAGATGGAGTACCTACAACAATTATAAAGAATAATTACCCACTAACAAACAGAAAAACGAAAAACACACCCAATTACTATCTATTTTACTAGTGGAATTTTTGTCAGTCTTTAACATTAGCTTAAAGTACATAAAACTGTCCAAAATTTAATGCTTCAGTATAAAGAAACCTAGAAACAGAATAGAATCATTCATTCTTCCCCTATTCAAACTATTAAGTATTAACCCTACAGAAAAGGCCTAAAACTCAAACCTACGTCTTTTTGTTCCATAAAAAGATCAAAAACAAACATTAAATTCAGTAAAACCATCATGACCACAGGGTTATAATCTGCGGTTCAAATCAAATGCTCTGAGGACACAGGACCACTTGAAACCGTTCCCACTCAGAAATCTAGAGTACCATTCATTGCTCCTGAACATAAGGGCTACAAAGCAGTTTCTAACATCACTTTTAGAAACAAAGCCTTATTTTTCTTCTTTGTAAGTTAACTAAGGATACTGAACATCTTTTCATGTGTTTGTCTGCCACTCTATTATCTTCTTCAGAAAACAGAATGGTCATATTTTTTAACTGGATTGCTTAAGTTTTTATTAGTGAGTCTTGATAATTCTTTATATATTCTGAATATCAATCCTTTGAGTTTTGTAAAATATTGTTTCCTAGTCTTTAACTTATACTTTGATTTTAATTATACTCTTCAAAGAGCAAAAATCTTAAATTTTGATAAGTCTAATTTATCATATTTTCTTTCATGGATTGTTCTTTTGATAGGTATCTTAGAAATTTGCTTAACCCAAGGTCACAGGAATTTTTTTCTCCTAAAAGTTTCATACCTTTCATACTTAAGTTTCACACTAAGGCCTATTGATACTTTCAGAGTTAAAGTTTATATGAAATATAAGATGTGGGTCTAGTTTTGTATTTTTATATATGGGTACTTAATTGTTCAGCATCATTTGTTGAAAAGACAATCCTTATTCTACTGAATTCCAAGGGTAAAAATGCAACATTGTAAAAAAAAAAAACCAATTAAGCATATTATATGTGCTGCTATTTCTGGGCTATTTATTTATTTATTTATTTATTTATTATATGTAGATACAGGGTCTCCCTGAGTTGCTTAGTGCCTCGCCCTTGCTGAGGCTGGCTTTGAACTCACAATCCTCCTGCCTCAGTCTGCTGAACCACTAGGATTACAGACATACATCAACATGCCCAGCAGGGCTTTCTACTTTATTCTTTTCCATTGATTTTTTTTTTTAATATGTAACAGCGGAATACATTACAATTCTTATCACATATATAGAGCACAACTTTTCATATCTCTGGTTGTATATATATTCAAATCAATTCATGTCTTCATACATGTACTTTGAATACTAATAATCATCACATTCAAACATCATTAATTATCCCATGCCCCCTCCCTTCCCCTCCGCCCTATCTAGAGTTCATCTATTCCTCTCCTGCTCCCTCTCCTTATCCCACTATGAATCAGCCTCCTTATATCAAAAAAAACATTCGGCATTTGGTTTTGGGGGATTGGCTAACTTCACTTAGCATTATCTTCTCTAACTCCATCCATTTACCTGCAAATGCCATGATTTTATTCTCTTTTATTGCTGAGTAATATTCCATTGTGTATATATGCCACATTTTTTTTTATCCATTCAGCTATTGAAGAGCATCTAGTTTGGTTCCACAGTTTAGCTGTTGTGAATTGTGCTGCTATAAACATTAAGGTGGCTGTGTCCCTGTAGTATGCTGTTTTTAAGTCCTTTGGGTATAGACCGAGGAGAGGGATAGCTGGGTCAAATTGTGGTTCCATTCCCAATTTTCCAAGAAATTTCCATGATGCTTTCCATATTGGCTGTACCAATTTGAAGGCCCATCAGCAGTATATGAGTGTACTTTTTCCCCCCTATCCTCACCAACACTTATTGTTGTTTGTCTTCATAATAGCTGCCATTCTGACTGGAATGAGATGAAATCTTAGAGTGGTTTTGATTTCCATATCTCTAATTGCTAGTGATGGTGAACAGTTTTTCATGTGTTTGTTGATTGTACATAATCTTCTGAGAAGTGTTTCTTCAGGTCCTTGGCCCATTTATTGATTGGGTTATTTGTTATATTGGTGTCTAGTTTTTTGAGTTCTTTATATACCCTAGTGATTAGTGTTCTATCTGATGTGTGAGGGGAACATTTGCTCCCAAGATGTAGACTCTCTTTTCACCTCACAGATTGTTTCTTTTGCTGAGAAGAAACTTTTTAGTTTGAGTCCATCCCATTTATTGATTCTTGATTTTAATTCTTGTGCCACAGGAGTCTTATTAAGGAAGTCAGGGCCTAATCCCACATGATGAAGATTAGGGCCTACGTTTTCTTCTATTAGACATAGAGTCTCTGGTTGTATTCCTAAATCCTTGATCCATTTTGAGTTGAGTTTTGTGCATGGTGAGAGATAGGGGTTTAATTTCATTTTGTTGCATATGAATTTCCAGTTTTCCCAGCACCATTTGTTGAAGAGACTATTTTTTCTACAATGCATGTTCTTGGCACCTTTGTCTAATATAAGATAATTGTAGTTTTCTGGATTAGTCTCTTTGTCCCCTATTCTGTACCACTGGTGTAAAATCCTGTTTTGGTACCAATACCATGCTGTTTTTGTTACTATTGCTCTGTAGTATAGTTTAAGGTCTGGAATAGTGATGCCACCTGCTTCACTTTTCCTGCTAAGGATTGCTTAAGCTATTCTAGGTCTCTTATTTTTCCACTGATCTTTGAGTCTATAAATTTTGCCAAGACAACTGCTTAATTACACTATTTGAGTAGTAAGTCTTTTGGGGGTAGGGAGCAGGGGTTGTACTAGAGATTGAACCCAGTACCTCACCTATGCTAGCTAGGTAAGGGCTCTATCCCAGAACTACATCCCAGCCTTTTTTATTTTGAGATAGGGTCTCATTAAATTGTCCAGGCTGGTCTCCTGGAATTACAGGTGTGTGCCTCTATGTGTGATTTGTACAGTAAGTCTAAAAATAAGATGATGTGGGGCTGGGGCTCAGTGATAGTGCACCTCCCTGGCATGTATGAGGCACCACGTATAAATAAATAAAATAAAGGTCTATCAACAATTAAAAAAAATAAGGTAATGTGAGTCCTCCAACTTGGGTCCTTTCCAAATTGTTTTTTGTCCCTTTGCTTTTCCATATAAATTTTAGGACCAATTGCTGATTTATTTTTTTAAAAAAAATCTTGATGAGATCTTATTTCAATGCACTAAATATATAGATCAATTCAGGGAATGCACCACCTTTTCTGAAAGGCTTTGACTATAACATTTCAACAATCTGCTAACTCTGCAATATGTATTGTATGTTTCATTCTCAAGATCCTCAGACACATTTCTTTTAAATGAAAATCTAGGATTTGTACTACTAAAATATAAAATGCAAGACTTTACTTTGGAAGATAACAAATGAATATTAATTCGCTGACCCCCACTAATCCAAGGTAGAAATCATTTACATAAACTTCTCAGTGAGAAGACCATTCATTCTGTAATCTCAGGAGCAACCAACAAGAACCACTTAAAAAAACAAGATAGACCAAATAAAGAATATCAATTTAACTGGAAGAACTGGGAGATAAAAGTGATAAATCAGGTACGATGGCACCCACTTGTGTTTCCAGGGATGTGGGAAGCTGAGGCAGAAATGGGATCTCACATTCAAGCTGGCCTGGGTAACTTAATTAGATCCCTCTCAGAAAGGAAGTATACAAGAAGCCCTAGATTGAACCACGAAGGCACAGAGGAGAAGACCACACTGTGGCCCCGCATCTACCAATGCATTGATCTCCCAGCCCACTTCCATCTTGGGACACTGCAGCCACCTAACACCACCCCCGACGTGTTAGCCTCTACCTTGGGGCAACAGACAGCACCTGGAGGCAGCAACCCTCTGTAGCACTGCATCTCCGAACATCATCACACAGCCTGCCCTCTCAGCCCCATCTCTGAAAGCGGTCACCTCCATCTTAGGAACACCTCCGCTGCCGCAATCACCATCTTTAGTTGGGGCAGCTTCCAGCATAGGACACTGGCTAGGCCCTGGAAGCCTAACATCAATGTAACTATAGATTTGACACTGTCACTACCAACAACTAGGAACATGCTTGCATCCATCTAGAGACAACAACGAGGACCTGGAAGACCATCACCAAGGTCCCTGCAGGCTTGGTTACACCAGAGGCATCCCTGCTAGCCTATTTCTCTTGATTCCTCTTTCACTCTTCTTATGATCCAATAGCTCTATATTCTCACCTCCTACGTCATAAACCCCACCACACACTCTCTTTGTCCACCGTTAGAAACTGTAGACCCCTATGGAAATCTACTCCATATATATAAATAGTAGACATCATTTCTGTTTATTGCAACAAAACTGTAATTATCTAAATAAGAGGTATATGGTTTACAGGTGAATACTGTTTGCATTGAGTGCTGTAAATATTGATCTCCCCCCTTAAAGGTGCGATATTGGTTACCTGCAGGGACACTACAAGATTATAGGGTAGAAACTGAAATACCTTGGATCTGAACTGCTAGAGAGGATGACACATGGACAACATGAAAAATTCAGGGAAGAAAGTGCCCCAAACAAACCAACATGGTACAATAATAGAATCCATTGACAGCACAATAGATCAAATATCAGAGAAGGAGTTCAGAACGTACATAATTAAAATGATCTGCAAAGCAAGTAATGATATAAGAGAGCAAATACAGGCAACAATTGATTGCTCTAACAAAGATAAGAGAGCAAATTCAAGTAAAAAAGATTACTTCAAGAAAGAGACAGATTCTGAAAATAAACCAAACAGAAATCCTCAAAGTGAGGGAAAAAATAAACCAAATTAAAAAGTCAATAGATGGGCTGGGGATGTGGCTTAAGCGGTAACACGCTTGCCTGGCATGTGCGGGGCACTAGGTTCAATCCTCAGCATCACATATAAATAGAATAAAGATGCTGTGTCCACTGAAAACCAAGAAA